ATATCACAATGGTTCAATCTGATCTACACTCTACTAGATCGACTCGGAAAGGATGGGAAATTCTGCATGAATTTTAAGCTCCGTCCACCTAGCTGGAACCGATTATACCATTACACAGCCATCATTATTCAGTATCTCGAACAAGGAGCGATTTCATCAAGGTTATACCCCATTTGGAAGGGATTTGTCCGGATCTGGAGGTTTTATATGGATAAACAGGGGTCCTACTTTGCTTTGTTAATCGAACAGTGGGATCTATTACTAATCATTCTCTCAACAACCTGCTTCTTCGAATTCTTGCAATGGTCTGGGATCTCCACGCGACAGAACGCATCCTATTCCAAGCAAGGGGTAGGAAAGTTAGAAACTATTCTTTATATCTTGGTGGGAGGAGAATCGCCATGTGCTCACACTAGTTATAACTAGTCTGTGTCTTTTCTTGCGCTCGTATAAAATGGGGACAAAACGCATGAACTTCACGTTTCAGCACAGAACCTACCATGTTCCCCACTGCTTCCCTGCTGTCCACTATCTTCCTTGCTTTGACTGTAGCGGCCAAGCCAGTCGCTGTACCTGACTCGCCCATATCTTTACCCATCGCAAGGAGGCTGAACACATCGGGTGGTGCCATCAACCTTCTTCAACATGATCAGGCTCGTGCTGCAGCTCTCCGCGACCGCGCTGAGGCTATCTCCAGTGGCAAAATGTCCCGCCGTGCTGCTGCTGCCAGCATCCCCGTGATCAACGAGGCAACATCTTACATCGCTCAAGTTGGCGTCGGTAACCCAGCTACCACCTGTAAGCTTTCTGCATATAATAATGAATTCTTGTGCAATTTACAATATCTCCGTTCAGACGATTTGATTGTTGACACTGGAAGCTCTAACACATGGGTCGGTGCCGGAACTGCTTACAAAGAGACCAGTACAAGTGTTGATACCGATGAGCCAGTGGTATGTGAATTAGTCTACTGGGTTCGAAGCCTTACAGAAATCACCCATCATTCAGTCCGTCACCTATGGTTCTGGTTCTTTCTCCGGTAAACAATTTATCCACATGCTCCTCCCACAGACGCTTAAATAGTTTTTTCATAGGCACAGAATATACCGACACTGTCACTCTCGGATCTCTCACAATTACTACGCAATCCATTGGTGTCGCGCAAACTTCAACGGGTTTTTCGGGCGTTGATGGAATTTTGGGGTGCGTGCTACTTCTATATATCTCAAGGGTTTTTGTGCTTAGAATATCTTGATAGTATCGGCCCTCTCGACTTGACGGAAGGTACTCTTACCGATGAGCAAGACGCCACCATTCCCACTGTCACCGACAATCTCTATAGCCAGGGGACCATCCCCGAGGCAGTCGTTGGTGTCTCCTTCGAGCCTACCACTTCTGAGGAAGTTACTAATGGTGAATTAACCTTCGGTGGCACCGACTCAACCAAGTACACCGGTGCCATTACCTACACGTAAGCTCATACTCTGTAGTCTGCCCTGTGCATTTTCTGATCGCTCCTTGATAGCCCGCTCACTACCACATATCCTGCGTCGTACTACTGGGGTATTAACGAGAGCATTACTTACGGTTCGACCACAATCTTATCTGAAACTGCTGGCATCGTTGACACTGGAACCACCCTCATCCTCATTGCCACTAGTCAGTCACTTGTCAAGTTTGCTTTCGAAAATAATCTGATTTTTTCACTTCACTAGACGCATACTCTAAGTACCAATCTGCCACCGGAGCCACTGAAGACAACACCACCGGTCTCCTTCGCATTACCACCAGCCAGTACGATGCCCTTGAGGACTTGAACTTCAATGTGGATGGAGTGAGTTGGCTCATAATTTTCCTCGTTATTTCTTGTGCCTAACCTGTCCTAATTTCTCAGACCACTTATGCTCTTACACCAAACGGTCAAGTTTGGCCTCGCTCCCTCAACACCTACATCGGTGGTACCAGCAACTACGTCTACCTCATTGTGAACAGCATTGGCACACCCAGCGGTGAGGGATTGGACTTCATCAACGGCTACACATTCCTTGAGCGTTTCTACTCCGTATTCGACACCACCAACAGTCGTGTAGGATTCGCCACCACCTCTTACACCGATGCCACCACCAACTAAATAGGAGCTATATGTATGAAATCGAGGCTGATGTTGCTGGTCGCGTTGATGTGGAAATTAATAAACGAAGTATGTTTTATTCCGCACGCATTTGTCCCTCGTACTTGTAGCTGGAGAATGGCACCACCGTGACGATTATATTACCTTAGGGGAGTACTTGAGTGTTTCGACAGTAGGGTCGTACCGGAGGCGACACTTATGAGTGCCAATAGTAATGATTCTAATCCAAGAAACTGGATCTCAAGCAATGTCAGGAACAGAAATGTGGGGTACTGCTTTACAACTTACAACGAGGAGGCATGATATATTCAGCTCGGCAGGGCCATTCAAAATGTTTGAGATAAAAGATCGCAAAGCGTTGACAAAAATTCTATGCTCATCAATAAATTTGGAATTTTTTGCTATTCCCATGTCTGGTGTAGTAAATGCGAAAATAACAATAAATAGTGTAAATATTGCGACATGGTTTACAAGATGTGATCAGGGTTTCTAATGCAAAGGTGTTGTTTCAATGGGTGAAAATAATGGTTGAGTTGCCATACGGGCAGATGAATTTATTAAGAGTGTATGATCATCCTTCAGTCAGTGATATCAATCTCTGCTAATGTTGACATGGAAATTGTAGAGGTATCTTTTATTGGATTTAGCCATGTGACCTCACATAGCCACCTGACCACAGGGAGTGCATAAAAGCAAAGTGGACCAGCCGGGGATTGAACCTTGTACTAATGTCAACTCATGACATGTGTTGTCTAACAAGGTTAACAGGCTTTGACCTTGACTATTCCAACATCTTTTATTTGTATTCTTTATGTCAGCATAATCACAATTCAAGTCAATAATTCTACCTAGTCTGGAGTGACAAAACCGGATAAACCTGGTCTCTGCTAAAGCAGCCATTGTTCTCCATGGAGCATAGCCACCACTCCATGGAGTCACCATTGTTCTCCTAGGAGTCATTATATTAAGAACAAAGCTTGAAGGAAGTGTCTAGCCACTTGCTGAGAGCAATCAGGGACTGGAACTAGAGTCCAATGTGAGTAACTATATTATTAGAGAGTATGACAGGTATACAGTACCTAGAGTCCAATGTGAGTAACTAGAGAATAGGAAGCATTGGACTCTGCAGTACTGTCCGAAGTTTTGTAAACAAAGGTAAACAAAGCAGCCACAAAGGCGAAATAATAGAGAACACAATCATTAGTGAATGATAGAAGAATAGATAGAGAAAGGAATGAAAATATATAGGTAGCACAAAGGTGCAGAATCACCAAAACTAACACATTGTACTGTAGCAAGTAGCACCTCCGACTATAAGTAGTAGGGGGTTTAGTATAGGAATTGTAACAACCAAGAGTTAGTCACTCTGGCGCACACAGGAACACACTATAAAGGTAGTGGAAGATGGGGAGTGGGTACCCCTTGGGCTGCAGTGAGTTAGTTGGTATACAACAGGAGGACTCGCTGAGGAGTCTCCTGGATCTATTGGGGTATATATACTACTACAGGTTTGTTTGTACATGTGTACTATACAGTTGATGAAGGCAGTGGCTGATGATGTCATAGGGTCTAGCCCGTATGGCCAGCTCCACTGCGTGAGAGAGTTAAGTCTAAAAGTAAAAGAAAGGCAACGCGGCGCGAGAAAGGGAAATGCCGCGTGGCACTTAAAGTATAAAGTTAAAGCGGAGAATAAAAAGGAAAGGAGATGTCCGGAAATTGTGTTATCGTAACAGGAATACCTCAGTCGTTTCTATAGCCTCTTAGGCAGTGGCTGAGTTTCACTTAGATTTATTATGGAGCAGGCCCATCTTCCATTCTTGTTAGGCAATGATGACCTTTCTCTGGTACAGTGTTGACCATGAAGGCTGAAATGTGTTTTCCTAAGTGCTTAAAGGATTTTTTACCAGGGCCGCCTTCTTGGGGCCTATCCTGATTCCATTTTGGCCAATGATCATACCTAACAAATCAACCCCCCCCCTAATTTAAAGTTACATTTCTCGGGTTCTATGAATAGGTCCTGGTCCTGTAAGTATCAAAGGACTTCTTGCACAAATTTGTTGTGCTCAGCCTCATTGTTCGACTTTGTAAATATTAGGAGATTATCAATATAAATAACCACACAGTTTTCTATATCAGTAAATATTTCATTCATCATGCTTTGGAATGTCACAGGCAGGTTTGTAAGTCCAAAGAACATGACAAGGGGCTTAAAGGATCCGTGGTGGCATGTAAACACTGCCTTCCAAGTGTCTTCTTGTTTGATGCATACATTATTGTAGCCCCATCTGAGATCCATCCCCGTTAATAGTTTGGCACCAGCCAAATTGTCTACTAGCTGCCCAATAAATGATAGCGGATATGCATTTTTAACTGTGTGCTTATTTATATAATGATAGTCTATTACCATGCACTTTTTACCATCCTTTTTAGGTATAAAAAATACAGGAGCCATCTAGGGACTCTTGAAAGGTTTGATGTACCCTTTCCTGAGTTGCTCATCTATAAAGCTTGAAATCTCTTCTCTTTCCATAACAGAGAGGGGATTCATATGTCTCTTTTTTGGTTTAAAAATATCTTTTAACTCTATAGCATGGTCTCAAGGTTGAGCCTCTGGAAAGCACTTGGATTTATGTTTTGGGAAGACTTTCCAGAAGTCATGGTACTCTGGAGGTACCAGCCTTTTAATCTCCTCCTCAGGTTTCACCTCATCATCATCATTGTCTACCTTTTCCTTTTCTAAAGATCTGAGTTTGGCATAAACATGACCAGTGATTATCTTTTCTTCAGTCTTGGAATGACATACATGACTTGGTTTAAATAAGTTGTTACACTCCTGAGGACAACATGATAATTTCACCACCCCTGATTGTCAGTCTATTTCAGGATTGTGCTTAACTAACCAGGTGCAGCCCAATATCAAATTAATTTTTCCCAGTTGAGTAACTTCTGCTGTAATGTGTTCCCTGTGGTCTTGGTACTCAACCACAAACAACCATTTGTGTGTAATGTATCCACCAGCATTGAGTGTGCCATCAATATTATATATGGGAATTGATACATTTAATTTTTGGAGTGGGAGTCCAGCCTTCTCCGCCCAGACCTAATCTATAAATATTCTGTTAGCGCCTGAATCAAGTAGTCCACTGGTTGGGTGTATAGTTTCTTGAGCAAGGTTTTCAACTGCAGCATATTATTATCAAAAGAAACATGTTTTTGTGTTATGTTCTTTTCTATTTTTTATTTTATATTTTGTTACTGGAATTAAGCACCCCAGTTTTATTATTGCCAGGGCTGTGCTCATTTTGAAATGCCAGTACAGCAATTACATTGGTATCATAACTTATACTATCAAAATTATTGGAGTCATCTGTTATGCAACCCTCAAGGGGTGAGAAGCAATATTAAGAAGAAAATTTGGGAGCCACCTTGTTGTGGTTTACTTCACCATATCAAGGAGCTACAGTATCCAAGTCATCTAAGCTCCAAATTCTGTTCCCTGAGCCTTCATCTCAGCAATCTGCTGATCATAGAAAAACACTGTCCCCCGGTTGACTGTGCCAATATCTATGGGATCTCCGTGCCCTAGCTGCAGCCTGTACGGCCTAAACCCTGTCTGTTTTTGTTGTGTTGTGTTTGGTAACCCAGGGCACCTCTGGGAAAAGTTGTTCTTGTTGGTGGAACTGCCACCAAATTACATTAGGTAGAGCTCTGGGGCCCTACCAATTTCTTGAACCACTTCTGCTGTGGCTATCAGCTACAACTGTTGTTTCCCTTGCAGGTAGAGTTGTTGAGCAATTGTTGGAGCTACATTTTGCTCCAACACCTCTACTGCATGTTTGTTCCCAAGCCCCCTTGGATAGAGAGAGCTAGGAACTGGTTAACAAAGTTGTCTGTCCTCATGGTTCCTTGTCTGAAGAATTAGATCTGCTGGTGTGCCCAGTCTGTTTGGCTTGTGGTTTGAAATATTTGACAACCTATAGCTTGAGATTGTCCCATGTTGGCCAGTTTACTGCTGTTGCGACTTCAAAATCATCTGTGAGTGCATTCCAGTTTGCTTTTATCCAAATTTGCAGTTTAATCCACTATTCTGCAATCTTTGCTGTCTCCATTGAAAGCACCAGGGTCAGTGATGATTTCAACCCTTGTGTTGGATTTCTTTCCAACTTGCTGAGGGGGATTGGCCTACAGCTGGCCAAGTGGTGCCTTCAACTGCACAATTTGTTGCCTCATCCCATGAAGGAGGGCATTGATGTCAATATGTTGTGCTAGTTGCGCTGATATAATGACTTGTTTGCTTTGTGTAACATAAAAGGAAGTAACTGGGCGTCCCTGCTAGCTGTTCTGTAGATCTACCTCTTCCCAGCAGGATATTGGATCTCAATTTCTGACTACCCACACATATGATAGTTGAAAAAGGTAAAAAGTATAGTCTAAAAAAGCCCCTATCTTCCAACTTCCAACTATCCATCCTCCTCCAAACCCACAGACACACATCTCAGGGTTTTACTTAGAAGGATTATTATATATACCATCCCACAAACAACCAGACCACCCACTGTTCTAGGAGGCAAAGCCCATAAATAAGTTCCATGGAATCTGGGAGGATTGTTTTGTTAGTTTGTTTATATATGGTTTTCTAGCAAACAATCTTCACCATCAATATTGGGAAACTCCTGTTAACTCTGAGGTCTGAGTATATGATAATTCCACTTGAGCCTGTGGTCTGGCTCTTGCACAATGTGCAAGGGAGTAATGGTAGAGCAAGTCCCAGTGTGACAATACCCAAAGCTTGTAGACTCTGGTGCACACACAGTAATTCAAAAAGTAGTGATGAATGGAAGATATAGTTGGTAGACTCAGAATAGTAGGGGTATTTATACCTAAATACATGTGGTACTGTAATATAGGGTAAATATTCTATAGTGTTCCATTGTATTCTATATGATATTATTGCTGGGTAAGTAAAGATATGATGTCATATCATGTGACCAGCCACATGATGATAAAATTGGATATTGACCAGACCAGGGATTGAACCTGGAACCTTCTGGATACATGCCAGCTGCTCTATCAATTGAGCTATATGGCCAAGGTTATACAATGTAGGATCTTAAACATGACATGCAACCACGGACATCTTACACAGAATAGCTGCTGCATACTGGGCTGGCTTACAAATCAGAGGTATTGTCCTATGGAGTATTGGTATGTCAGAGTATATTCTAACACATGATAGGTCTGTGTCAGGACCATGACCTTCAGAGTGTGGAGATGAGGTGGGGAGCGGAATGCAGTACAAGGTTGGTAATTGACTTAGCTTGTGTGCTAGGCCCTTCCGCAGACCTTGGTCCCTAACTCGATGGAGTGAACAGGTGAGAGTAGAGGATGAAAGGTGGAGTGGACTAAAGGTCTTTCAGAGAAGAACTGGAAAACTTAGAAAAGACATGAATAAAGGTGGTAGGAACTAGTTGATATTTGAACTGCAGGAATGGAGTACAGGAGCTATGACTTATATACTATTAGAGGGATGGGAGTTTGTAAGAAGTAGCTAGTAATATAGGTACAGAGTTCCATGCGGACAATGATCTAGCCAGGGGAAAATATATGTGAGGGGAGTGTACCATATGGTCTAACTACAGAGTCTGTGAGTAATATGGTACAGGGCTATGCCAAGTGGCAGAGCACGAGGAGCGTGATTCTGAGAGTACTAAAGATTTGGCAGTTTGGACTTGAGGATCTCTGACCTTTTGAAATCATAGCTTGTGGCATGGATATGACAGTCACATGATCAGTCACGTGACTTCCAAAAGTAAAAGCCCGAATAATAACAGAAAAAGACAAGGGAAATAAAAGTGAAAGTAAAAATAGATGCCAAAAATACTGTATATGTGGTAGTATTTCCAGTAAATCATAAAGGCAGCTATCCATTACATAACATTATTGACTGTGTTATTGGAATTATCTTTGAGTCGTTCATTTTATTGCTTATTGTACAAGATAATTCCATGTAATAGTTTGTCAAATTTTCACTAATCATACACTAGAATGGACCAAGGGTGGGACTGTCACTTAGTATTAAGAACAAAGCTTGAAGGAAGTGTCTAGCCACTTGCTGAGAGCAATCAGGGACTGGAACTAGAGTCCAATGTGAGTAACTAGAGAATAGGAAGCATTGGACTCAGCAGTACTGTCCGAAGTTTGGTAAACAAAGGTAAACAAAGCAGCCACAAAGGCGAAATAATAGAGAACACAATCAATAGTGAATAATAGAAGAATAGATAGAGAAAGGAATGAAAATATATAGGTAGCACAAAGGTGCAGAATCACCAAAACTAACACTTAGCTCAGCAATGCTCACATGGTTTCCCATGTGGGATCCCTTTCATGGTCCTCTGACCCTAAAGATGGAGTGGTTGAGACTGTGGGTGCTAACCACCAAAAGAGACGGGGATGCAGGAACCCTAGAGAGTAGTATAGTGATATACAGAGGGGGAAATGCTGAAGATGCCTGATGTGGACTAGGGCAGGCACCCTAGACAGAGAAATACAGTACAGAGAGGGAGGTGCCAAAGGCGCCCTACCAAAGTGGACACAGGTGCTGCAAGCACCCTAGAGATTAGTGCAGAGAGGGGGATGTGCCAAAAATGCCTGACCAAAGTGGACTGGGCATCAGGAAAATGGGGAGAACCTAGTGTTCCCAGGCACATGTGACAGGCAGATACCAATGTGATATGTATTCATAGCTAGTTATCAGGATATATCAATGCATACCAGATCAATGTCGCAATGGTATGCAGGGCTATAGCAAAATAAGGATTGTCAAAAAATGATAAATGGCTGAAAAATAGTACATATTACTCAGACCAATACTACTTAACCAACTAATAACTATCAGCTATGGCCATGGTTTACCAGACTAATGTGAAACTGTCAAAGATTTGTCACGTACATTTCATACCATCTATTGATCTGTCAGAGAAGGTAATGTTATTGGCTTTGCACATGCATTATAAGTTTGTCAGCCAAGTAAAGTTGGCTGACCTGACACAAGACTATCAAATCACCAACTGTAGCAAGAGTCATTGTGTCACAATGTTTATGGTCATAGCTGCCAATATATATATATATATCATTATTCATAGAAGACTTCATATCCATAACTAGGTCCATACATATCATCCAATGCTAGTAGGTCTTCCTCTCTAACCTCACTAGCATCACTGGTTTGTGAGCTATTACTGTCAGAGGAATAGTTGAAGTCTTGGATATGGTTTACTAAGTTTGAATCAGCAATTTCCAGAATGTTGCTACTGTCAGTATGGTCCTGGATATGCGGCTCTGGGTATTGCTCAGAGTCATATATGCCAGCTGTTTTTGGCTGTTTAACATTATATGCTAGATTTTTAGCGGGTATGCAAGTATGTAGCAGCCCCAATATTATACATGTGGCCCACTCCTAGGTTGAGATGGTAATGCATGAGCATGTTGTGATCAACAAAACTACAAATAGTTAGTAGGTTATTAGCAAGTAATAAATAGAATACACCAGTTTACATAGTAGAGGCACCAGTTGTTAGCATCCAAAGTGTAAGGAGAAATACCAATGCTATCTGCGTGAACCTTGCCCTCTGCAAAAGATGGGATAAAATAGCAGCTACGGAGCACATCCTTTGGATCTAGAGAACCAAATGCATCTTTATCTTCATCTGCCATTGGAAGAAAATGCACTTGATCCAAATTATGAGTCTGCTGACCATCCTCCTTCTCTGCCAGCTTGAACTATCTCACCCACGGCACCTTTATTCTCCCAGAATTTTAGTCAAGCAAGTTGGAACCTATATACACAACATTTGCATGGAAGATACTGAGTGACCGTGCATACAGGAAGGGATGCAGTGTGGGAGATCTGTCATCAGCTGCATCTGTGTTGGCAAGAACCATGATATCCTGGTGTGGAGTGTGTGGATTGACTATATCCTGTGCCTGCCGGGCATTTTAAGTTGTATAGTTAAATTGAATGATACTGTGTTGGTAGAGGTGGTTACCTTTGAAAAGTACATGGTCCCACATCGGAGCATCCCCAGTAGTACTCTGTCTATCTGTATTTTTGGGGAAAGCTTGTGGCAGTAAAATATCTTGATTGCTCTTGGCTTCAATCTCTTCTTGAATTTTTTCTCAGATGCAAAGAAGTAAGTATTGTTTCAGTCTTGTTATAAAGTCCTGGGAATGGATGTGAGTTTGAGGATAGTGATATGGATATGTAAGAAATTTTGACCTTAACTGCTGGATCACCACTATATCTATGAAGAATACCAATAGGATCATTTTGAGTTTTGCCAATAGTGTGGTGCATTTCTAGAAAGCAAGCTTTATCCTGAGATTCTGCCTGTTTATTTTGGCCTATCTGTTCACAAATACAACATATTCAGTATTCTCATTATTTGATATGGGCAATTTGCTGGAGGTATTTCTTACAGCTTGTGCGTGCATACCAAGCTTTCAGTGTGCAATGTTCAAGCTGACCCTAGAATAATGTTAGTATTGGGCCACAACACAGTTTTATGTACTTGTAAGAGGTCTTTGGAGTTGTGTACCACCATTTCTCTCATTTCTGAACAATTATTTAGGAAACACCTGATAGTAGAACTACCAAATGTTGGCACTTCTCTGTATCTTGTAAATCATTCAATTTAGTGGAGAACACTAGGGCATTGATACTTAGTGTCAGAACCTTGACCTTTGGAGTAATTGGAGTTTGGAGGACAGAGGTGCATTGGGGAGTGGAACAGAGTATGAGGTTGGGAGTTAGCTTAGCTCGTGTGCTAGGCCCTTCCGTGGACTTTGGTTCCTAACTCAATAGAGGGAATTATCATATCCGTACCGGAGAATAGGACTCCAACATCTCCAAAGGAGATGTATCCTCAAGTCTGAACCTCCCAAATCTTTGGTATTCTCGGGATTATAACCTGCCAGTTGGCATAGCCCTGTGCCCCACCCCCATATGGTACTCTGGACTCCTGTTCCAATACCCCTGCATCAAACTTCTAGTCCATCATATGCTATTCTATGCACATTCTCGTACTCTTCATGGACTTTGTAGTTTAGACCTTATGATACACTTCTTGCACATATGTTTCTCCCTTGCTAGATAATTGTCTGCATGGAACTACGTACCTACATTATGAGTTACTCCTTACAAGCCCCTACTTCTCCTACAGTATATAAGTTGTAGCTCCTGTACTCTGTTCCTGCAGTTCAAATATCAACCACACTCCCTCACCTTTTTCCTTTTTAAGTCTTTCTAATCCTTTTCCAAAGGATCTTTACTCTGCTCCCTTTTCATCCTCTACTCTGCTCTGTCCATTTTTGTCGAGTTAGGGACCAAAGTCCACGGAAGGGCCTAACGCACAAGCTAAGCCAATTCCCCATCTCGTACTCCGTTGCCCCCATACTCCATCTCCGTACTCCATAACTTCAAACACTCTGTAAGGTCATAGTTCTGACAGGAATGGTGAGAGTAGAGGATAAAAGTGGAGTGGAGTAATGGCCCTTTGGAGAAAGACAGGAAAACTTAGAAGAAGACTTGGGTAAAAAAGTGGAGGAATTAGTTGATATTTGAACTGCGGGAACAGAGTACAAAAACTACAGCTTATATATTATTAGAGGTATTGGAGTTTGTAATGAGTAACCTGTAATGTAGGTACAGAGTTCCATGCAGACGACTATCTAGCAAGGAGGAAATTGTATGTGAGGTGAGTATACCATAAGGTCTAAATACAGAGTCCATGAGGAATATAGAACGTGTGGAGGAAATGTATGGCAGACTAGAAATCTGGGGCAGGAGAATCAGAGTGGATATCTGGAGTACCATGTGGAGGTAAGGTGCAGGGCTATGCCAAATGACAGAGCACGAGGAGCATAATTCTGAGAGTGCTGAAGATTTGGGAGTTTGGACTTGGGGGTTTTTGACTGTTTGGAGGTCCGGAAACCACAGCCTGCAGCATGGATATGGCACTTAGCACACCTGTAATCCAACTCATATAGAAGCCTTGTGTTGCAGGTGCCCAGCATTCTGAGGAGGTGGGAACATAGTGTTTTCCAAACACCAAGCTCAATCTTGTGCATAAGGTCTACAGTGAACATGATATACATGTTAACCCTGAGGAATGACAAGTTTCCAGAAAGTGCAATCTGCAGCCCAGATAGAATTATTAGACATGACATGTGAGTGGCTTTTAGAAATAATCAACTTACTGCTGTCGCAACCAGTGACTCTTCCTTAAGAAAATTCTCCACAATGGTGTTATTTATTGCATATTGCTTGTGGTAAATAAGCTCCTGAGCATTGGCAACTTTTTGCTGGTGGCACTCATTGTGTATGCAAGCAAGTAAAGTCTGTTGCATTGAATTGTGTGACATAACAAAGTTGTGTGCACAAGTGACCAAAATCAGGCAGCATGGGAAAGGTCACCCCCCAAGTTTTGAATGCTAGCCAACAAGACCTTAGATGAAGGATGAATTGATAGCAATGTGAGCATTGTAAAATGGACTACTCACTTTTCTGGATAGTCTGCTGAGTAAGTAAAGAAGCAAGGGAAAAACCTACATCTAATCCCACCATATCAGGGTATTATGATACCATGTTTATAAGCTTCTCTGAACTCTTCATCATAGTATTTCCACTGTACCTATGATAGAAGAATTCATGGTGGCAGTGTGTCATGAAAGCTGAAGGAGATGTTTTGTGTCCAGTATAGGATGCACAAAAATCTTGAAAAGGATGTGGGAGCTGTGAATTGTGGCATCAGACCAGATTTGAAGGGCCACAACAACATGCTCTAAGGTTCCTTAGCTGTTCATCTATGAAACTAGAAATCTCATCTCTTTTGGGAGCAGAGAGGTATGTGTCCCTTTCTAGGTTTGAACATGTCTGGGAAGCATTCAGATTTATGTTTTGAAAAGACTTTCCAGAAGTCATGGTACTCTGGAGGTACCAGCCTCTTAATCCCTTCCTCAGGTTTCACTTTGTCATTGTCATTGTCAATTTTATCCAAAGATCTGAGTTTGGCATAAACGTGACCAGTGTTTATCCTTTTGTCAAGCTCAGTTTGACGGACTTGACTCGGCTTACCCAAGTCATCACACTCCTGAGGGCAACATGACAATGTGACAACCCCTGTCTGCCAGTCGATCTCAGGATTGTGTTTAAATAACCAGGTCCAGCCTAAGATTAAATTAATCTTCCCTAGTTGGGTAGCTTTGGCAGTGACTCATTCTCTGTGTCCTTGGTACTCGACAACAAAAGAACATTTGTGCGTAATGCAGCCACCTGCGTTAAGTGTACCGTCAATGTTATAGACGGGAATAGATACATCTAATTTTACAAGGGGGAGTTTAATTTGCTCTGCCCAGACCTGATCTATGAAGATACTGTTAGCCCCTGAATCAAGCAGTGTGCTGGTTGGGTGTACTATGCCCCAGGCAAGGTCTTCCACACCAACATCTGAATAGATGTCTCTTTGGAATAAATATGTGCACATCAACGCACACCTTGGGATTTGGTTGGAAAGTGGCTCCGGAGAAGAAGAAGAAGAGACATCAAAAGAAACATGTTTTTCTACTTTACAATTTTCTATATTTTTATTTTTATTTTTACCAGAATCAAGCACCCTAGTGCTTGTCTCGCTGGGGCCACACTGGTGCCACCAATAGCCTTGACTCCAGGAGGTAGTTCCACTAGTGACCAAGTACCATTGCGCTCATGAGCTTGAAGCTCTTCCATGGCTGCCTCTCTCCATTTATCTGCATCAGGACGCTTCATTGCATCTGCAAATGACCTAGGCTCAGCAGAGTCTCCAAAGTGTGCTACTTCATCATCAACTGCCTCAGAATCACTGTCATCACTCTCAATGGCAGGAGTAGGTTGTCTGTGTTGAAGCCACCGTGGTCTAGGTGGTCTCCTAGCCCTTACAGGGCGTCTCAGTGCAATAGGCAAGTCAGGAGAAGGTGAGCGATGAGGAGGGTGATTTGGAAGCTCAGGAGGTTGATTCACAGGTGGTTTTGCATCAAGGTCCAAATGAGGCCCATTGTCAGGCAATGGTTGAGGCTGCTGAAGCGCAGCTGGTGGGCCCATATCTCCCCCTGGACCTGGTGCAGGGACATCCTCAATCAGGCCCAATGGCATGGATAGCGAAGGTGGAGTGGGAGGTGGAGGCGGGACATCGTCAGAAGACCTCTTTAAGCCAGGGAAGTAGCGCTCATCAAAATCAGCTCTCTCAGAGATAACAGTGTGCTTGGTGGTAGGATTGTAGAATTTCCATCCCTTGTATCCCTCAGGGTAACCAATGAACACACATTTCTCCATATGAGAGCCAAAGACGCCTCTTTTGTCCTTTTGCACATGCACATAGGCAGTGCAGCCCCAAACGCGAAGGTGAGACATGTCAGGCTTGCGTCCATACCACAACTCAAATGGAGTGGCATGGGCCACTGCATCAGTGGGACACCTGTTCCAGACGTGCACCAAAGCGGACAGACATTCACCCCAGAAGCTGTTAGGCAATGCAGACTCTGATAACATGGCAGTGATACGCTCAGTCAGAAGTCTGTTTGCTCGCTCTGCCACACCATTCTGCTGAGGACGGTTCCTGGTGGTATGCTGTCTGACAATCCCATGATCATCTGTGAATTGCTCAAATTCCTTGGACATGTAC